AAAAAAAACTTAGGTTGTTTTGGTTTTTAATTCTAGTTCTTCTTATAACATTTGTTATTTGTCAAACAGTTTCATTATATGATCGTAATGATGACAATGATAATACTTATGAATCATATAATCAATTTAAATCTCTTACTCCTCAACAATTAGCTGATCTTGATGAATTTCTTTCACGTAAACTTGGTGATGAATCATCATCATTATCATCAGGTGAAGTTTTATATCGTAATACACGTCGTCCACATCAACATTTAATAGTTAAACGTGATGCTTTATGGACAACAACAGAAGTACTCGAATGTATTCGACGTTTGAAATATTCTAAAAATGTTTCAAAACTTGATCTTGTTACAGAAATGCTCAATTGTTATCGACGCCTTAAACATTCGGGTTAAAAGAATAAAAGAAAAACATATCTATAATAATTATTAGAATAAAACTTGATTAATAAAAAAAATATATATATGGCATCATTAGATTATACATTTCATTATAAAATTGTTCTAAGTTTAGAAAAAAAAATGCGAACTTTGAAATATGTATACAACATTGAAGAAAGAGGAAAAAAAACAATTCTTTTTTCATGTTATATTCTATGGGTCCGTCAGCTTTATATATCAGTAACAGAACGAAAGAATCTAGTTGAATGGGATAGGATAAGTTGAAACTGACGTCGATAGTTCGAGTCTGAAACAAGGCAATGATGTATACTATTAGATTCCCTATTGGCCTGAACATGTCTGAAGACAATATGTGATCATTACTGAGCCTTGAACAAAAAAAAAAAAAACGATTTTTCTAGCTGAATTATTGATAAAAAAAATAGTTTGAATAATGATGATTTTTTTTCCTGTAATCAATGCTATGAAACTAAATTGATTTAATTATGAAAATGTTGCTGCTTTCAAATGCAATTTTATTTATGATCATGTGTACTTTGCTCGCAATATGAAATTCAAATAATGTATTTTTTCCTTTTTCTTATTAATATGTGATTCGATAGTGGTTGCTTTGATGATTCTGATTTGTTTTTTCTTTTTAAACTTAAGCGACTTACATTTTCAAATTCAATGTCAAAAACTGAGTGCAGAACCGCTATTAAATCGAATTTGATCCTAAAACTTTGTTCAAGGTGATGACTAAAATTAGTTCTATTTGTATGTTTATAGGTTGTTTTTGTAATTTTTTTTATGTAAGTGATAATCTTTGCATAAAAAAGCATCTAATTCATAAAATAGACGCACATAAGAAAAACTCGATAATAGTATCATCTATGTGAAAGAATGATCATCAAGTAATTCATCATATACATATATCTATTCTTTTTTGTCTAACAGTATAAACCCACTTGAAATATGTGTTTTTTTTTCGTGAATGTTTGTCATAAAAAAGAGAAAAAAAAACCGAATATTTCTTGTTCGAGTTATGAGACATTCCCGAACATAAAATATCGTGTGTTTTTTTTTCTCATCTTAATATAATTAATCGCGCGTTTAACGATTTAATATTATTTTATCGTAATAAACAAGGCGATATGTCGATATAAATAAGCTTTGTTTTTTTCTCTCTCTAGATATTCACAAAATCAGCCTTACTTATTTTATCTTCTTTTTTTTTCTTGCTCAAGTTTTGTATTTATGTATGTTTCGTGTTGATTGCATTCGAATTTGTATCTTTTTTTTTTTTTGTTGATGTCGCTTTCTGTTTGCGATTAGTTTATAAGCAAATAAATATATCGAATTTGTCTTGTGAAAGGTGACTATGCTTGATTTCTTTATCTTATTTTTCATTGATTATCAATAATTTATTTTCTAAAATTGTTTCTACTATATGAAGAATTCTCTCTCTCATGAATAAAGATAAAATCGATGATGGAAAATTTAAATACAAACTGTATTATCCGATCCAAAATAAAAGACAGGTTACCATTTTTCAAACAATTTTTTATAGGAACGAGATAAAGAGCTACAGTTTTCACCATTCGAAAGAGCAGAAGGTGGGCACCAATTCCATAAAAAAACCAAGGGATCAGTATCATATAAAGATACGTTTAATTACTTGGATTTTTCTCAAACTTTGTAATCTTCATAACTCCAATTACATATCTCTTGTTTAAAAGTGGGTCTGGTAGCCCGGATCATGCTCTATAAGACTACGCAAACCTCAGGTCCCTATCATTTATTGCTTGACCAGGACATCAATTTTATTAGAAGCAACTGCATCGAATTTCAGAAGTTCTTATTTGTTCTTTGAACATGGAAAATGTATAGAATATAGGTTATTGTCTACGTCGAAGTCTCAGAATAATGAATTTTATCCCGAATAAATGCGAAAACCTCGGATTTAAATCTAAGAGTTATGTGTACTTCAAAAAGTGAATGAGGCAGATGAGTCATCCTAGAATGTCTGGACATCAAAATTGTCCTGGCAAACCTTTTCTATAAACACTTGATTTCTATTGGCTACTGCTCAATCAATAGGATTTGGAGGCAGATACAGCTCAGATTTGAACTCTTCGCCTTCATTTACCCTAAAAAAGTCGTTTTTCCTATAACTTGATTTGTATTGGTTACTGTTCGACCAATAGGATTTCGACGCAAATGGAGCTCAGATTCGTGTTCTCCGCCCCAGAAAACCTAGAAGTATCATCTCTGTGATCTCAAGACAGCTCTAATTGTGGACTAATTAGAGCGTAGACAAAAACAGAAGCAATGTCTGTTTAATTATCTTTGCAATAGACGAGTTAGCCTTCTTGTCTCTTTATCTTTCATATACCATTTTGTAGCTCGTGAAATTCTCTATCGAATGGTATATAATAGTGGGAGTTTTCTTTGATTATGATAGTAAAAGTTTTTTACGAAAGTGGAGATAGGTCGATTTTCCTATAGGAAATCACGAGGGAAAAATGACTATTTTTGCAATAGCTCAGGAATGGCTTGGCCAATCATGCTCATCTTCGAACTCGACCGGAATATTGCTAAGACTGAACTATGTAGAAAATTTCATCGCAATCGAACTCTCCTTTCAAAAGTTATCGTGTAAACGGGAGGACGGCCGGACACACTGACCGATTCTAGAGTGTACTCACTTTTTGAGTACACAAAAAAAAACGAAAAGTACGATTGACGAAGATTTTTCTTGGTTCATAGAGACGATTACAATTAAGTAAGTAGAAATAAAAATGAAATTTATTCTTAAAGTTGTTATATGAATTTTTAGTATATCTCCTGCACTAGTTAAACTTTGTCCTTTTTTGAGATTAATTTGCATTTGTATGATTTGTGCTGTGTTCAGAGAAAGAAGACCTGGTGAGCCTATATAGGTTTTCTATTACTGACTAATTTAATTTAATATTGTAGCTCGTACAAATAATATTAATCAAAATATTACCCAAATATCAACTCCAATTGTTAATCCAATGGAAGAAATATCAAGAGAAAATAATATTATTTCTCCTCCACCTCCATACACGGAAGAAGATTCAACTAATTTTGATCATTCTTCACCTTCATATGTCTTATCAATAAAACTTCATGAATCATCATAAATAAACATTTATTTCAAAATGATATTTTTTTTTTACAGATGATCAAATATATTTATTCGATAGCAAAATTTTCATTGTATGTTTTCTTAAGAATCTATATAGTCGTAATTATAAACACAGCGAATTCAAAAATCAAAATATGCATTAGCTTGTTCAAATGTATAGTATGCCAATTTTTTTTCTGTAATCTGATTTTCATAATCAAAATATTGAAAAACTAACATCAATCAACCTTATATAGAAAATTAATTTTATTTCAATATAAAAATGATTTTTATTTAGAATGAAATTAACTTTTGTTAAAAATTTCATTTCAAATTTTTTTTTAATGATTACGAGTTTCTCGCATATTCATAAGTCTTTCATAATTATTGTAAGCGAGATAACATAATATAATCTGTTATGATAGAACAAAACAAAAGTATTTCATAAAAAAATATTTTCAATTTTGATCAGAATCTATTAGATGATACAGTGTTAATATATTTCATTGTTTTTTTTTCGTATTTAGTAAACGGGATATCTTTTTCAAATAGTTGATCATCATTTCTATGATTATTCCAACCCGTTGAACTAATATTTAAGAATCGTTCAAGAAAATAAGTAAGCTGAACTAATTGGTGATAGTTAGACAAATATTACATAATATTTAGGAAAATTATGGCTCAATGATATTTATTAATTGAATTGTTTAATGCATTAACTTAGAAAAGATAATTCAACATTTGTAAACAGAAAATTTTTATCGAATAGGAAAACATTTATTTTTAATAGATTTATTATTAGAATAAATATTTTATCTTAAAAGGTTTAAATCTAAAGTGACTATTTCCTATAATAAATAAGAACTGCATTTAATCACTGCATGTCGATCAAGTTTAATGTAACAAAGGTATCAGTTACATTATTATAAATCTATTAATTATAAAGAGATTGCAGACTCACACCCGATCGTTAGAGTTCTACTATCTTTATTCGGAAATGATTGATGCCCCACAAGTAAGCGAACTCAAAATCCTTAATCTTGATGCATACTTAACTGAAATTAGATGATTAAACTAATACATTGATCACTTGATAAAATGCTAAGATCAGTATCAATTTGTAACAAAATAATTGCTTTTTTGTTTATTAATAATGACAACTTTTCTTTCAAAAAAAAATAAATATATGTTCTTTGACTAGCCTGAGAAACATTACTCCTTATATCAGATACTCTTGACTAACAGTAAAGATAATTTCAAAGAGTAAAAAACTATCGCATATTAACAAGTGATATACATGTAGACAAAAACGAAAATCACAAAGATAGTGTAAACAAATAATAGAATGAATATGTGAGATTAGACTGGCTTATTATTTCATTGACATATGCATATTTGTTTCCTTTTACGAGTTGACACGTTCAGTTCATGATAATTACAGTAAATTCTTTCATAAACACTTTGAGCAACATCATCGAATTGATTGCACTCTGCAAAATCTTTTGGAAGATTATGTGTGAATATCAAATAGCACAAATCCACCTGGTCTAAAATAAAAGATAATCATACGCAGAGGAATTGAAATACTTGTTTTGAATAAAACAGTAACTTACCCATCATTTTTTTTAGTTTCATTTTCTTTGTTATTGGACGTCCCACGAAGCCTTAACCTTTGTGAGTACCAATACTGTAACAAGAAATCATACAGAGTTTAAAAGGTTTTTCTAATGATTAAATACTTACCAGGAACAGTACAAAATATAATATTCTGTTCATATTCAATCGTATTTGTTGGAGATGGGTGAGGACCATAAATTGTTGAAACAAAAAGATCAATCGACAAGAAATGTTCATGCTCTAAACGAATACATAATCGATCACCAATTACTTTTGTATAGCCGATTTCATATAAGATCTAAAAAATTCAAGAAAATGATGTTTATTATTTATAATGTTCATAAAGTCGTGTTTTGTTAACTTTTATTAAATCAGCTAACTATTGAACTTACTTGAATGGCTTTTTGAAAATCATCTTCATTCACGATAATATCAATATCCATTGTATTTCTGACCATTTCATGAAAAATAAGTGCATATCCACCAACAATATAATATCGAACATTGTTCACCTTGAATAATGTGCTAAAACGAATGGCAGTTCTGTACAATAATCCATCATGTGAATTGAAGTGCATTGCGTTGTAAAAGATATCTGAGAAAGACAAAGAAGTCATACTTATATTGCAAAAAGCAAGGATAAAATGAATAATTTAATATAAATTTGGTCTGTTATATATATATATATATATATAGATCAATAATAATCTATAGAAAATAATGCTTACGAATAAGTCAGCACCAAACAAAGAAATGAACACAATGAGGATAACGTGAACTAACCAATAAAATAATAATAAGATTAGCAGCGACTAGTCCTCAACAATAGGGTTGAGATAATCTACACACACTTCGACGTACACACACAAAATCGCTATTGCATTAAAATGACACATAACCTCTAAATATGAAAGCGGGCGTTTCGTGTCGCGAACGAAAGATATAAGTTTTATGTATATTATCGTTTGAATAAAATAAAAAAGCGAATATAAAAATGTTTTCATTTTTTGGATTTCGATGTGATATGAATACAATCTATCACAAATAATAAGATATTAACAATGAAATATATAAGTACCGACTTGTTTAAATAATTTTTTTGTCAAATTGTAGCGCACATAAAATAGTATTTCATTTATTATAAATGAACAACAACTAGTAAATATTATTTTTTCTCGTTTATCATATTCTATTTTATGATTTAAAACAATTTTTCTAATACAATATCAATTAAAAATCAGTTCATTATCAGAAATAGTCTCTTGTTCTTGTAAACAATGTATAATCTATTACATCCAATTCCTTTCAGTTCCGGTAATTAGACTACTCATAATTTTTAACCTATGTGCACCAAGTCTTTGCGTAAAATTACCATTCAATGTTCAACTGATTTTAAGCAACTGAAGAGAAAAAAGTAGTCAGCTAGACTGAGTATTTCATACTCTGTCTCTCTATATATATTCAGATTTCTTTTTGACTTAGAGTTCCAACAAAAATAAACATGTCTTTTTTGAAATATTCAAAAAAAAAGGTTCTATTAAGGTTTTTCATGCTTCGATCGAAACCTACGCGTATCAATAATATATATGAAGTTGAACGGTACTTGACATTTGAATATAGTCAATTGAGTTCGTATGTGAGTTAGAATTCAACAATATTCAGGTGACTAATAAAAGAACCTTCTTCGATTTTTCGTCTATAGATATTATTATAAGGTATTCTAGTGGAAACTTTAGACGAATATGGGTTCCTCTATTGAGACTCGATTGAGCTATTGAATTTCAAATATATTTATTTTGCATTTAGCCTTAATGTCTTCATTATATACAAAACTTTATTTATTTGAGTAATGTATCTGATGATGAAGATGACACATTATATTGATTCCTATCTTTATATATAATAATGAAAGTGATCATGATGATGGAATAATAGCATGTATAATAAGATCTAAATTACGAAAAAATCTACAATTTTGATTTCAGCAAACTTTCAAAAAAACAACCAGTTGATATGACTGATCGATCATCGCCAAGAGTAACCACAACAAATTTCACCATATTCAATAAAACAAATATACATTTTAATTTATGTTAATAATAGTATCGATCAAATAATAATAATAAAACAATGATTTAACAAAACCATCATATCGTCATTATCGGCAACATTACATTCTTATTACATAAAAACTAATATATAATACATTAGTGTAATGTAATAACTTTTTTTCTCGAAAGAGAAATCTAGAGTAAGACAGAATTTGGCAAAAAAATTTCTTTTTTTTCTTTGCTTTTGTGATTTCTATGTTTATTTATAAGGATACATTCACGAGCTAATACAATCAACAATAAAACACAACAGAACAGTTGTTCTGTTTTTTTTTCTTTCATCCTATAGTGTTCTCGTGCATGACGAAAAGCCTATATAATAGTTAAGTGGCGCACGACATTCGTTTTGTCCTTACACATTTCGATCGATAACTTATTAAGCTGATGCGATATGTGTAAAGACAACTAAGATGCCGTGCGCTTCACTTGTTTCATAAGAACTTTTATGTCTCGCTATAAATATATGTATACATGTGTAGCTATGTGTTGATAAATCATTGATTATCTAATTGAAAGTAAGAAGTCAAATGAATACAAAGTGAAAAGAAAATTTTTTCCGTTGATGTAGGTGCGTGTATGTGAAAGTATTATCGAATTTATCATCAATGATGACGTATAAAAATTGAAAAAAACAAGCTGAGTCTTAAATCATGTGTATTGTATTAATTTTCGACAACTAGTTTTTTATCATTAATGCAAAGTTATTTTTTCTTTTTCAATCGGATTGCATTTGTTCGTTAGATAAAAACGTTACCTTTATCAATAAAATTTTAAATAATAAATTAGTTTTTATTTCAATCATTGATATTTAAAGTCC